AGGTGCTGAGAAGCTGTCAGAATGTCCCAAACTCATTTGCCACAAGAGTTTGTTTTTGTATGTAAGCACAAAGATACACATTAGGCTATCCATGGGTATTGAAACCCGGTTTCTAGCATTGTAAGTCTGCAGACATACTGCTGTGCCACTGTCTGCCACAAGAGAAATTTGGTCTTTGAAACATAATTGTCTGTGACCCACCAGTGTGTAACACAGTCCTAAACTAAAAGTTGGTTATGACCCACTGATGGGGCACATGGCAGCCAATGTATTAAATGTCAACAAAAAACCATAACTCTCTTATGAATGGAACTTCAAATGAAAAGAAAGATCTAAAATCCAAATCTTTTTCATAAAAGGTGTCCATATATTCAAATTGTGATACCAAAAGATTCTTTAAATACATTAGTGGAAATCATTTCTTTCTAAACCAGTTGCACAGCTAGTGTTTTCAGTCAAAATGGGAAGCTTTAATTGATAACTAGGTGTTTGAAATTTTCTGTAGAAATAATTTCTTGTATCCTGTGACATCACTAAAAACAGGAAAGTCAATTCACAATAAGAGCTTATAGCCTACCGTGTAAGAGCTACAAGAAAGTCGGATACACATTCTCGTTGACCCTTTGTAAGTATCTTGACCTTGGAGAGACGGTAAACTGTGTGAAGTGTTGCATCCAATAAATTGGCATAATTTTCTGCATCAGCAAACAAATGACAATACTTGATCAAAAGTGGAAGTACAGAATTTCCGATGTACCGGTTTAAAGCCAGGGCCATATCACTCTCTGAACCATCAGGCTACATCAGAAATAATAATAATAAACAAATAATTTACATATCATTCTGAGGTATCTATATAATTAGTTCAAATTATACTTTATGTTCTAAAAACATGTCTCTATAAGCAGAATTGTTGTCAGGTATAACCACTGATTACTCTTTACATTACTCAGAAATGGACATTTAGGATTAAATAATAATTTTTAAAATTTTGAGTGAAAAATGAAATGTTAAAAATTTTACTTCAAAAAAGTTAAACTGATCTTTCACTAATTCTTCCATCCCGTCATGAATCCTTCATGATCTATCTACATAATCAAGGAGTTTTAGATTAAGCCAAAAAAATAAAACAAGTTATTTATGTTTGAGTAGTCAGCAATCTAACAAGATATTTAAGCTTATGACTTAACTAATCAACACATTTCTTCAAAAAATATAAAAACTTTCTAAAATACGTATCACAATACTGTGTGTTAACTAAATACTCAGAATTTTGAGTTAAACATTCTAAAATAGGTAAAATGTCAGAAAGAAATTAACTAAAGTTTTCTTAAGTTTCCAAAATATGGATTATCTCAAAACAATCTACAAGTACATAGATACAATTCAACTGGATTTAAAATTTGTTGAGATTAATTATTACTGAAACACAAACAAACCACTTTTAGATTAAAATTTACTTGCATACTCTATGGTTAAGCCAATAAAAAAAAAACCTAGTTTTTTACTGACAATCTATTTTTACAGGTAAAACTAACTGAATATTATTTAACTATGTGATGTGGCTATTAGGCAATTTTTTTTAGTAAACATTATTTGATGTATTGGTTTTTACAAATTTATGGTTTGCAATATCACTATTAATATTTTTTTAATGAAAACATGTTTTATAAAAATCAAGGGTTAACGTCTAAAATGAAAAATAACTTTGTTGAACTTTTATAGAATTACCCACCATGTTATATATTCTGTACAAAACATTCTTTAACTTATTAGTATCAAATACAAGTATTCTGTAATGTGTGTGTGTGTGTTTATATATATATATCCATATTAATGCTATTGATTACATTAATTGTTAGTAGGCGATTAAAATCAGCACTATAAAACAATAATGAACTTAATATAAAATATGCATTATAAAGATTTGAGTAAAGAATCCATTGTCAATCCTAGTTGTTTTCACCTTAAAGTCATAGCAGATATTGCCTGTGGTAATAGCTCCCAAATGTGCTGATGTTAAACTAGCTAGCAAACATGGAAATCAATTAAAGGTGTGGAGTTGAGTGCTTACACCCACAACGTTTCAGCTCCTACTGCCTTTCACTGTCTGCAGCCAGTTGTGGGAAGGCAGTTACCCTTAAATGTTCTTATAATTCCAAAGTGAAGATAAAAGAGAGAATGAAATATATGGAACAGCACTTACCCTGTCCAACATGGTGGCAGCCCGAAGGTCTGGGAGTAGACCATCCTCCAGAAGACGAAAGAAAGTTTCTTGGTTTTCAATACCATAGACTCTCTCCAGAAACAGAACAATGGACTGTTTATGATTGGGCACTAAACTAGAAGGAAGATCACTTTTTGGTTCTCCTGTGGGGGAGAAATTAAAAACATTACATTAGATTAGTTTATTAGGACATTTGCAAGACAGTGTTTCAAAATATCTTAATATTCTCAAAATGTCAAAGATTCCAAAAAAAAGGATTTAATCAACAGAGACATTGATATTACTTTGTATAAAGCTATACAATGGGCTAGCTGCACTTTATCAACTGGGGAATGCTGAACCTCAGATTTTAGCATTGTAATTCCATAAGTTTAGTGCTCATTCACTGCAGGAATCAACAAAGAAAATCACATATGGTAGCTGAACTTAACTGATTTGACTAAAAATGAAAATGTAGATAGATACACAGTGTTTTAAATAGTAGTCCATTAGGTTGGGATACTGTTGTTGAATTTAAAGTACACTGTATACATAAAAAAGAAAATACACCCATACACACAAACACACAGAATTATATATATAATCTAGTATGTGTGTGTGTATACATATATACACACACACACATACATACCTAACTCAATGATTGTGTAGAATATTACAATCAAAAAGTTTCAACTGTGGAATTCTAAAAGAAAAAAGGTTGATAATGCAGATATAATTTTATATGCTTTCATTAAAACAGCATTCAACTCATTGAATTAGCAAAATAGTCTTAGCCTCCTTATTATTAACAGTAAGTACATATCTAACTGATGATTGAATGTAATTTAATTATTATGAATTTTAGTTTTTGATGTGCTGATTTACAAAAGTATTTCTAGCCAGTTTGTTACACAGGATTGTCTTCATTAATTTTTAAGTTCTGATCTATGTGGCAAGCTTACTTTTTGTCCAGAGTTTTTAACAATATTAATAATATATTCACTATATATATTACATTTGGAAACGTACCATCGGCCTTCAGTTCTGGCATTTTTAGAGTAAATCGCAGACTAAGCACCCCCTCTAAATCATCCATAGGAACAAGAGAACGTAGAATGGCACGAGCTCTGATACAGTCATTTTTACCCTGAGCAATAGTGGCAGCCTCTGGAGCACATCTCCCAAGTAAGTCAACGAGAGCACAATAGAAGTTCAAAATGGCAGCTCCCATATCAATGTAATCTTCATCTTCCTCATCCGATGCTTCACCATTCTCAATCCGTTTAGCTTTTTCTGCTTGAATCCTTTCAGACATTATAATTGATTCTTTAATTGCAGCCAACAACCCAGGTCCTTCTCCCCTCAGAGCTGGACCCAGACATTCAGGACGACGGATTAGAAGACGAATTACTAAGTTAGCATTTTCTTCAACACTTTCTCCTGAAAAAATTTGTAAAATTAATAGTTATTATTATTTTACAACAACACATGTAAATATAAAGATTTTTTCAAATTTGTGTGTTTATGTATGACTTTTACTTATTTCATTTTTAGATTTTTTTTCTCTTTCCAACTGGTAAAAGAAGGTGACTTGACAAAGAAATATGTTTTTATTTTTAATTTTTCCAATATTTGATATCATGAAACAGAAAAATTTACACAAATTCATTCATGTTTTAATAGTTTTCTAATCTTAATAGTATACCTTAACAATATGTTAAAAAACGTTATAAAACCAAGTGAACATAATGCATATTGCAGTGTTATAAACACTGTAGGAATAAAATACACAACTTTATCTCAAGAAAAACAATTCTTTTATTTTCTCAATGTTTTGCCATGTCAAAACCAACAAATGGATATAGCAAAACTTTGAGTAAAAAAATAATAAATAAAAAAATATTTATACACAATTTTTACATTTAACTCCACAATTATTAAAAAGGGTTTCTTATTTACCATTAACCCAAACACAGAATCGGAGAAAATCCAAGTAGCGCTCTCCCTCAACTGGGTCCCATCCAACATCAGGGTAGCCCTTGTCTATTAAACCCTGGTTGGATTGTAATCCACATCTGGATAAGTAAACAGCAATCTTTTCCAAGTAGTGTTCTCGTAAAGCAAGGGCTAGTTCACTGTTTTCCATTAAAGAAGAATAAGAAACATCCAAAGGTGTTGAACCTCGAAGCGAAGGTCGAGCTAAAAAACATATGCATATTTGTTTACAAGGAAACATAATTAGATTGATTCTATCATTTTTAAATCAGGTAATTTAGTGCTTGTTTTTAAATTTCAATCAATATTCTCTACCAAAGTGAAGGCCTTAATATTTTTAGAATCCTATACCAAATCCAGTTTTATTATAGACTACAAAGTCCTTCATCGTTCTGTATTTGAAGCAAAGCTAATATAAATAAAAATCCTTACTTTTACATATTTTTCAGATCTGTGAGTTAAGGTTAATACCCACATTCATAATACAGAAGTCCTAATAGAAATGGTAAAGTTGCCAAGGTTTGTTACAAAATAGAAACTACTGACAAATTTGTAAGTTGTAGTATTTTGTTCAGTGTCAGAGAATAATACAATCTCATAATCTTCATAAACAGTGGTAAAAAGAAAACGATTTTTTTCATAAAAGCAACTATTCATACACACAAACATTTCACATAAGAAAACCCACATCCATATATTTCTTTACTTTGAAATAATAACTTACACAAATGTTACATTGATTTAGGTCTGTGATTCTCAAACTGTAGTATATATACCAGTGGTGGTGCATAAAGTTCATATCAGTGGCACACACAAAAAAATACAAAATATGTAATAAGCTCAAAATGAGTTTTTTGTACACATATACACACAACTCTCTTCTCTTGAGTTACCTACATGCACAGCTTTGACAGTGTTCTCTTCCTTTCACATTGACAAAATCTGCAACACATTCTTTAATTGTGTCAGAAAAAACAACCACATCCTTCCCTCTAATGGGAAGGTTTTAAAAATAATCATTTTTTTTTTACTTAATAGGTTTTCTTTGTTTTAAAATTAGGCCTACGTTTGTACTTTAAAAAAAAAGTTTAAAACGAAAAGTGGTTCGAAAACTATTGACTTACTTAATATATATATATATATATATATATATATTGAGATATATTTCACTAAATGAACACAGTACAAATTTCTAGATTCCCAAAAATGAATTCATTCATGTTAACAGAAATATATTATACAGTAATATAATGTGTAAAATCAGTCATCTCATTCATATAACAAGGACTTACAAATAAAATAGTTTACTTACATAACAGAATATTACTATTCTCCAACAAAGAATCTAAGTGGTCAAACATGGCTTTCTGGTTCTGGCGGCTTGATCGACAGAAATAGCAAAGAAAACGGCAACAAGCCACAACCATTTCATGAGAGGTGTCCTACAGACAGAAAAAACACAAATTGATATTCAATAAGAAAATTTTCATCTAGAAACTTGTAACATTTTGGAAATTGCACCTCCTTGAAACTGATTTTGATAATATGCCTTGTAAATTATAATTACAAAAAACTTATTATTTATCTAAACATACCATCCTGCACACACTACAATTACTAGTTTTATGTCTGTTATGCAAGCATTATTATTGACAAGTTGAAAAAATAGAAAAAAACAAACCTTAAACCTATTTTGATTCATCAAAAAACTGAAACTGATTTCATCAAATGTTCTGTTTTTACAAATTGTTGCATTTAAATATGCCTGTTATACTAAGTAACATAAAGTTTTAATAAATAGCTAACCAGTAAGGTTTCAATAAAAGCATTTACTTGAAGTTCACATTACAGACCAAATTTGTTATATTTTATAAATCATTTAAACATTGCACTGTTTTAAAAAATACAATCAATAAAGATGAATTTCATACTTTTCTGGTATATAAATATTCAAACAAATAATTAATATAAAAAAAAGATAAAAGATAAACTTAAAATCAAAATAAAAGCATTTAAAACATATTACAACTTATTGTAACAAAGTCTGCATTCTTCTAGAACAGCATAATAAATACATCAGAAGTTGTATTATTACGTTTTAATGTGATATTGCTTACCAATTTTATAAAATCAGAATGAGAATAGTACATTTCTTTGTTGTTACATGAAACTGAACATAATTGTTAAGAATTAGATTCAATTATCACCCAGTTTGATCTTATTGCATTAGTATTATGCATCAATTTTGTAAGGTTTTGCAATTATGATGGAAAATAAGCTGTAATAAACTCCTTAAACCCAAGTGGACGGTACCAGCATCCGGCCAAAAATCCAGATTTACTCATTGGATGGTGACAGAGTCCAATAACATATATTTCTCCTTCTCTGTAAAATAATCAAAACTATGTTATGAGGCGAGGGCTGGGGGCAGCAGCAACTCACCCTAGCATGCAATACATACAGCCAATAGAGCAAATTTTCAGTTTTCATTCGGCCAAAATTAGAAGCAGAGAATATGGTGATTCGGGCAATTTTTATCTTCATTTGGGAAAAACTTGTAGCAGAAGTTTCTTACTCGTAACCTCAGTTGGGCAAAAATTTTACAGCCCCCCCCCTCTGAAAAATCCCCTTACACCTATGGTTATTATCTACCTTTTATAAATAGACCAGAAATGTTATAAGATATGGTGATAATTATTAGGATATCAGGAAAATAATTCCAGCAGAACGCACAACAAGTTACGGGTTTAAAGAGTTAATCATACACTTTTCATAGTAATCAGAACTGTGTGGAAAAAATAAAGAAAAAATTGTAGCTGAATTATCTTCCTAAATTACTTCATTTCAATTTAATACTTGGATAAATAAGTTGGAAATTCAAAATAATCAAAGATCAATAATTTCCACAAATAGAAAAAAATGTTTTATCTATTAATTTTGAAAAAAACCTTGTCAGAAGCTTCTTGAGCCTGTCCTGGACTTGAAGGGGATGTGGCTGCAGGAGAGGAGGATGCAGCTTGAGCAGCAGACTGTGTTCCCAGTGTATTCATCATGACATCCATCACGTTTTCATGAACACGCAAGATTCGAATCAAATCAGGATGTTGAAAGAATATTTTGTTGTTCACTAAATCCCTGAAATATGGTGATTTTTTTGTAGAGTCTAAATTTGAAAGTTGGTGAAATACTTTGGGAAACTCAAATAACAAAGTATATATAACATCCATTTGTTTTGTTTTATAGATGCCTTTCTAACAGGTCTGACAAGCTAAGCAAATAGTAGTTTTATTTCAAAATAACATATTAATAAAAGTTGTTTTCTAATAATTATAAATAAGCTTTCTAAAGTATAACAAGTTATAAAAGAATGGAGTCTTGAAATTACAATGTGTAACAGAAAATCTAGTACTGGTAAGCATTTTATATATTAAAAAAATAAAACTAACTCGCACAATTCAGAGTTACTGCTAACATAAGTATACAAGATAAAAACAGGCCAGTTATAGAGTATACTTAGATGGATAAAAGAGGTAGTAAATTAATAACATCAGGAAATAATAGCAAATAGATTATTAAAAATTCTATAAAGAAATTTAAAATAATGTTCCCTGTTACTAGGGTTAAATAACTTATGTGCATTTTTTCCCCAATAAGTTGTACAAGTCCAATATATTAGAAAATACTCACCACAGACTGTCTCTCATAATCTCCTCTTCTTCAGGTCCCATCTGTACAGGAAGCAAAGATCGAACTTTTCCTAAGTGTCCTAAAAGTTCTCCAACATCTTGTTGGCTGCTGCTACCAATAATGTAAGTGTTTTCCAAGGCATTCATTAACTAAAAAAAAGGTGACAGAAGGGTTTTTTTTAGAAACTTTTTTTTCATATTCGACATACTTTTATTGAATTTAATGTCTAGATTCTGGAAATATCATGAAATAAATCACAATAAGTTTTTCTAAATAATGATGATTCAACATAAAAATTATGAAAACTCATTCAGGATTTTGTAAAAACTATAGTTTAAAAGCAAACTCTATAACATTTTAAGTGATCTCAGATTCATCTCATGAAATACCAATAATGTTGCAAAACAATTAATACTAAAGCTATCTGTGCTCTGCCCACCATGGGTATCGAAACCCAGTTTCTAGCAGTATAAATCCGCAGACATACCACTGTGCCACTGGGAGGCACTAAAAATAAATAAATAAAATGTATGCATATAAAATTGTTTAATTTAGTAAAAGATTTGTTTGTTAACTGTGTTCAAAATACTTGTCTAAAATTATGTAATCAGCCTGTCAGAACTGAATATATAAATGATGCAAACATTATTGAAAAGATAATGATAATTATATAAACAATTTTTACCTGTCCAACACCATCATAGGTTCTCAACAATAAATTAAACATCTGACGAATCAACTCTCGGTTTTCAAACTCTGATTCTTGTGCCCACATTGTTAAAACGGAAACCATCTTTTTGATAAAAATATCTGTATGTAAGAAAGGTTTTGAACATTGTAATTTATTTTTCTGCTTGCCAAATATATCTTGCTTGCATAGTTTTTTGTATTCACAATTGCAAGTTATTTTAGGATGGTAAACTTCCATTATATTTTCATATACTGACAAAGCATAAAAAAAAAAACTTAACAGAAAAAAGTTACTGTATCTCTAACTACTTAATATACAGAGTTGCTGTCTAATACCAGCAGAAATATGTAACACTTATGTTCAAAAGTATGTTTAATTCCTTCAGCATAATTTTTAATTAGAATTAACATATTAGTTTTAAGATTAACTGTAACTGTTGATACCTTTAGAATAATTGATAAAATTGTTAATTAGACTTACAAGTTAATTTTATAATTATTTATTTATCCTCTTTGTGCCAAGTGACAAATAAGGCCTTTAGTTTTAGGATTACTGTGTTTTAATATCAGTTAATTAGCCTAAGAGTCAGCTTATTAGGCTTAACTAAAAGATTTCTGAAGCTTTGCTAACCATACTGCACAATTTGTTCTCGTAGTTTTAAGAAGATGAAATACATCCACGTCCCTTACAAAGATACAAACTTTATAAAACAACCTATATAAGCTGAGCAGTTTGTGTTAACAATAACCTTCTTGTGTAGGTTTGCTCTCCTCTACTTCTTCTTTTTGATCTTCTTCTGAGAAGTTAACAAACTTCACCAAGGATATAAACTTTTGGGACCAAGGTTTACTTGATTCTGCTTCATTAGATGTATTTGGATTTTCCTCTTCCTCCTCATTTGCTACACAAATCATGACTTTCTTCATCATTGACTTATGACAATACTTGAGGCTTTCTCGAAGGTTTTCTCTGCAAGGACACTGATCAGACTGGTCATCTTCCGAGTTTTTGAAGGACAAAATGGCTCGCATCTAGTATGTATAGAACATAGACAGACAAGATGATTACTGGTAACAGTAATGTTTTAATCTGATTTTCACATACTTTTACAACTGATAACCATGCATTTTAACTAGATGTTCTTGTCCATAAACATAAAAAGAATTGGAATTCTGACATCGAAATGTACAAAAATAAATGTATTCAAGAATATGAACAGACAGACATACCTACTCAAGAAAGCGAACTACACTGATATTAGTTCATAATTAAAAAACAGCAATGCCCATATTTAGAAAGTTTCCAAATTTGAACCATTTCTTGACCAGAGGGTGCTCAGGTTACCCCATATCAACTTTCATAATATAATTAAAAAATAACTAATTTTATTCAAACAATTTTTTACTGGAAAGAAGATTGCAAAATTTATATTTTAGCATTATATAATCCTTATATAATTTATATAATAAATAAAAATTCAGAAACTTTAAGCTTTCATTTCTGTCATGTCTCAACTGTAAAAATCACACTTTTAGATTTTTTAAAATTTATTTGATAGCTCCTAAGGTAATATTTATTTCTCCAAATAGAATATCAGCATTTTCAGTTAGGTTTATGTTTATTTTATGTATCTACATTTTATGCTTGTCCAACTGTGGAGTTATTGGTTGAGCCCAGATTCACTGCATTACCCAGAAAGGTCTTATGAACTTTGACTGGCTCTCAGCTTTGAAAAGGAGGTAAAGCCTAACACTAAAAATCAAAAGTAAGGAAAGATGCTGAGTTTTAAGACTATGTAACGTAGATTTCAACAGTGTAATGTGCAAATTAGCTATATCTCTGGAAATGGTGAGTTAGGTGCAGTCAAGGGTAATGATACAACTTCAAGATATAGTTTTGAAATATTTCCCAATAACTTGGAAGCTTAGGATATTTATATAATTTCTAATGATATTTTTATAACATTGATAATGTTTTTATGCTATATTATATTCATCTGAAATGACCAGACATCATGTAAGGATACTGAGGTTAACCACACACTGTAAGTTATGGCCTATGACAGCAAACTATTTGTTAAAACAAATCCTTTTACATTAAATTTGTTGTTAAGTCTATTATGTTCAAAGAAAAATAAAACACAAATACAAAACTTCTTAGTTGTTGATAACAAATTATAACTGTTAAATATAAATTAATCTTGACCAAAAAAATGTTGTTGGCAAAATACCACGCTATAACATCTGACATTGAGGCATCATTGTTTACTGGTGAGCCTTTCAGACAAACTTTTGTTTGTCTGATTCACAGAGGGAAGTCAACTGCTCCAATCAACAAAATAAAGTATCAAAAGAAATATACTGATGAGTTTAAGACAAAAAGATGTATCGTTATTATTTTTTTCAAAACAGTTTCACTATAATTTTCAATTACAGCCTAAAAAATGATAAAACTATTACATAATATTTAATGAATTTTTTCACACAGAAGTTTCACAACACTGAAAAAGTTCGTACCAAGTTTAATTCAATTTTGTTAATCAATTTCACCATGAAAATGCAAATGAAGAAAACTGTGGATGTCAGCAATACCATACTTGTCTGAAAGGGTTTAATAATCAAGATTCAGTAATTTTTGTACCTGTTCTTTTGGGGAACAACGGAACTCCTTTGTCTTCTTGGCAGCTACTGATGACGGGAGATCAGACTGCTTGATCTCTATGTATCGTCTCAACTGATCCTGTAAGAATATTGGCATTATGTAATTTTTATTTGTTTTTCTTAGAGCAAAGCCACATTGAGCTATCTACTGTATCCACCAGTGGGAATTAAACCCTGGATTTCAGTGTTATAAATCTGTAAACTTACCACTGTCCCACCAGGGGACACATTATGTAATATACAAGAATTTTATATATTTCATACTATAACATACAAATGTTAAATAAGCAGCAAAACACTTCTTCCATAGACTCTACAAGTTAATACACAAAACATTTTATACAAACTGAAAGTAAATTTATACCAAATATAATTTATTCTTAATCACCTCCAATATATATCTCGAAGATAAACTTTCACACTTCAGAAAACAGATGTTCTGTTCATAACCACGTTTTTCTATGTACTGAACATAATAAAACGATTAGGACTTAAAAATTTACTAATTTATCAAGATTAATTATAAGTTTCTAAAGAGTATTGCATACTAGGGTTCCAAAACAAAAAAAAATTTTCATAAGTTCTTGATCCCTAGGAAACTTTAGTAACTGATGGCACTGTGTAATTCGAAAGTTTTTATTGAAGGATGTATATAACATGATGTGGGTTTAAATGAGTTAACAACTACAGTTTTTAGGCATGTTAGCTCATATTATTATATTTAAAAAATTCTATACTAAATGGAAATAGATAAACAACTTACTCCTTGTAGTTCAGATACATAATCATCAGAAAAGGATGCAATTGCTTCAACTCTGTGTCTCAACTGTAAGTCATACAAGTGATGTAGCAGGTAACATATCTGAAGCTTTACTCCTTCGGCCACATTCATTTCTATCATGCCTTTCAACTTGTTCTCACTCGCTGAAAAAAAAAACACTTTTAATGAAATTGTTTTGCCGTGAATAGGGCACTGATTTCTATATAGCCAATAATTATTTTATTATGAATAACGGACTGATTTCTATATGGCAAATAACTGTTTTTACCATGAATAGGGCACTGATTTCTATATGGCAAATAACTGTTTTTACCATGAATAGGGCACTGATTTCTATATGGCAAATAACTGTTTTACTATGAATAGGGCACTGATTTCTATATGGCAAATAACAGAGAGCAGATGCCTAATGTTCACCTGAACTTAGTGGCAGTATTTTTTTACATCACAAAAATAGGGGGTTTGGCCAAACTCCCTTGAATCCTCCTTGCATGTGTGCATGACATAACATGTACACTAGATCTTGTTATGTAGGGGTGTAAATTTATACATACTTTCATTGTAGTTTCTGTCAAAGGTTGCAGGATCCAGAAGAACCAGAAGCCATTCTAAGTCTTGGTCATCTAGTAGTCCAACTAACAGAAGTTTATCAGCAAGTTTAAGCAGGGGACTGTAAAGAAAGAAAAAATAGTCATTATTCCTTAAAGAACTATGATAATTACTTTATTTACCAATTTCTAAGCTTGTAAAAATAATATATCCTGTATTTGTATTTAAAATTGTATTTTTGTATTAAATGAAACAATCCAATCAAATTATGATAATTTTCACCTACCATAATAAAGCAAGCTCTGAAATACTAAACCTCAATTTTGTTTGATATTAAGCACAAAGCTACACAATGGGCTATCTATGCACTGCCTACCACAAGTATTGAAACCCAATTTTTAGCATTATAACTCTCAAACTTACTGCTGAGCCATCAGTGGGGAAAACTTCAACAGAACTGTCGGCATCAAAAGTTTGTTTCCTCATTAATAATTTTTTTCCTATAGATCACAAATAGTTTTCAAAAGTTCTACCACAAACTTATATCCTAAATTTTTATCTTTTCAGCCTTAACACTGTCTAATGAAAACTTAGGTGCTTTTCGACAAAAGGAATAAAAATATCAAACAGAACAAAACAGATATTATATCCTTGTAATCCATGCATTTGGTTAAAAAAATAAATGAATTCTTAATTTTTTGTAAGTCATAATGTATACACACAAAAAAAAAAACAGATTCAGTTATAACACTTTGGTATCATGTCAAGTGTACGTATATATATGTGTGTGTTTGTATTACTGAATTCAATTAATTCAAATTATTGTTAAATAATCTATAACCACAATTATAATAATTTCAAAATTTTTACTTAAGAAAATACTTCAAAAATAAGATATACTTATATACGACTATAAACTTTTGTTAGAGACAAGTAATCAGTGTTTCATCAAAACCATAGTGAAAAAGATGAGACTTTGAGAGCTAAACCACTAGCAAGACAAATTACTCTTATGTATCAGAAAATCCCATTACTAGCTCATCAAGTGCTTTTAAAAAGTATTGTATATTTAAATGCTTTAAAAAAAGTAGTCTAAAAATATGAGTACATACACAAAGAGATTTTCATTGCTGCCTCCAATAGGATCACGGTTTGGACGGTTTCCTTTACGAACAGCATCATCCAGAGCTTCCATAATGAACTGTTTTAGACCATTAACAGGGAAATATGGTGTGCTAAGGCCCTTAATAGAATCAGTCCTTTCTCTGTAAAATATACACAAGATTTTTTTAAAATTTAGACAACAGTTTTTGGGTGTAAAATGAGTTACCACTTTAAGTGTACACTGTTACTTTGTATGCAAATATTTGTGTCTGTTGGTATTACAGAAATGTTGCTAAGATAATAAACACAACTGTTATGTGAGGATAGACAATTCAACATATGATTTATCACTGAAAGAGCAGCTTTATCAGTATCATAAAATAGAGACGTACAGGACATTGTAATGAGTAAAAACAGTATTAGAGGGAAAAATACTAAAACTATATTTTTACAAGTTATGGTATAAAGTCATTTGAAACATAATATTAACCTGATGTGGTTCATCATCTCCTGAGGATTCCACTAATCATTTTTAGGTAAAATATGACACATGAATTATACAAGTTTAACAGAAAACTATATACTTAAAGGTGTGGGGCTTATTAATGCTAGAAATAAATGACCTTATAACCCAAACTGTTGTTTTTCTTTAATTGGACTTTTTTGAAACTTTGTACTGTCAATTACGATTTATATTTCAGTGGAATGCTACTGAAGAAGCTGTAAAGCAAAACACCAAGTGTCCAATTAAAGAAAACAACAATTTGGGTGTTATAAGGCCAATATTTCTAGTATTAAAATGTCTTCTACACAACAACATGCACTACAGAAATTAAATAGTGTGGCTTATGTTTATCATAGACACTATGTAATTATAAGTCATAATTTATATTCCTCATATTTAATTATTATATATAACTTATACTTATCTAAGACAAATAAATCTGTGAAATGTAACATATATGTACAAAGTATATTGTATAGTTGTGAGGCATGTTTTATATTTATACTAAGAAAACCAAAGAAGTATTATTTTTTCGAGAAGTGTTACATTTCATAATGGTCATGTGTAGCATTAGCTTTTCACATGAAACAGTGGTTTTAATTATTAGGAATGCTATATACTTACAGGGTATGACTCATGGTCATCTGGGGCCTGATGGAAACACACTGTAAAGTAGAAAATGAATGAGCAAGAACAGGGTCTTCATACATTGCTCGAATCTGAGATCCCATTGGTATAATGAACTCATTTTGAGTCAGACTTCTGTGAATGAAGGGTGAATCACTGTTCATAATGTGACACTATTCAATATACATTTTACACCACTAAATGTCCATGAATTACTTTATCAAATTTATATAATGCATATCTGTTAATACAAGTAATAAAAATAACTGAAGAACATAATGAACATCACAGGCCTCATTGAAACTTTCTGGATAAAAAAGAATTATAAACATACATATAGAAAAGCAATAAATACATTAAAAGTAAAAAAAAGAAATATATCAAATTTGTAACAGGTATGTTTAATTAAATATAAAGTCAAAAGATAAGACATTACCCAGAGTTTCAGGTGGCTTTTCACAACCTTCTCTAGGGTGAAACTAACCACAAAAAAAAAATTTAATTAAAATTCAATTATTTGCAAAATTTTGCAGGAATTCTGTAATGGTTGGTTCTAATCTTTCCAGATGCTTCTGAATGGGTGATTTTAACTGAAACACAAAAACTCAAGGCTAGTAAAATTGACTTTGACATGAACTAATTAATTTGAAATGGTTCCCTACCTTGCATAAGCATGAAATTCTAAATGTAAAGCAATGAGAAGATCAGTAAATGCTGTTCTCAATGGACCAGACATATACTCAGACTGAATGGCATATAACAACTGTTTGGTGTCCACATGGGAACAGATAATGTGAGCTGCTCTGTGGTTGCCTTGGAAACAGAGAGCACCATACAAAGCAAGGGTGTGAGCATGAAAACTATACAATAGAGGAAAAGTCAAGTTAGTAATCAAATAGCAAGTTATGAATATTTTTTAATATCAAAAGTACTATACACCATCCAAGGAAGGTCATAAAAATAAACATACACTGATTTCTATTTTATAATTTATATATTTTTTTATAAAATATAGATTTCTATATAATCTAAATAACATACACTTCAACACATAAAATGTACAAAATTCTCAACTGAATATTTGAATTACAAATATTATTAATGGGTAGTTATTAATACATCCCTTAAAAAATTAATTAATGTTCTAAGCCTTTCTGTCACAACACATCTTCATTTAAAACACAAAATTTAATACTGACTACTCTAAAAGTTCTTTGATAAAAACTATTACGAAAATACCAACTAATGTCCTTCCCTCAAGAACACAAATTTTCCAAGTTAAAATGTAACAAAGAACCAACAGTTATCTTTCACACAGGTATGACTATTCTAATGTCACTACTCTTTAATGCAACTAAAAGTAACAACTCCAGCTAGTACACTTATGTTACAAAATAACACAAAAGTAATCATTTTTCTTTCTGCTGAGAATTTTATACTTTGTGTGCAGTTTTGTATCAATTACATGCTTACTACTTTTATTTTCAAACTAAAACAGAAATACCTTAATAGCTTCTCAAATTCAATTAGTTCCAATATGTCCACACACCGATCTTCTTCAGGGATATGGATGGCAAGCATAGAAACAGGATCTTCACACAGCATGCTCCAGCCACGAATGTCTGAGAGTTTCAGAGCATGTGGTCTTAAGGATTGGTTTGGAACCCGAGCCCATTGAAAAGGTTGAAGACACTGAACCTATTGTGTGTAAATCAGAGCATCATAAGACCCTTAAACAGGTGTGTCCTTAAATAAAATTGTTTTTCGTAAACAGGAGGAAGTAAAACAGTAATTTTAATACATAAATACAAGTAGTAAATGTATTCACTTTCAACTGTATGTCTAAATAAAAAGTGTAAAATCAATACTTATCAGAAGTAAATTTTTATAAAAACTATCCTTGGACAGGAGAGAGCATCTCTGAACAAGCTTAATTCTTATTAGAATGATCTAAGTAAAAACATTACTAATAAATATTTTTTGCTATTGCATTTAATCAAAAAATAAATAAATGCAATTCTAGATAGCCAGGATACAAAAGCTAATAAAATAACTTTATTTTCCTACTTTTAAATACTTAAACAAATGCACACAATACCTTTAACCTTGGTGGACATTGTGGATGAATATGTTTTTCTGTACTATGTAATAATGCCGCTGATAACGGGAGTGTGTCATTTGTTCGACCTAGTTCAAACTGTAGAGAATCTTTACTGGTAGCTTCAAAGAAAACAGCAGGGAAGAGTTTCATCCCAGGTTCCATCTGTATAAAGGAAGTTAATAGTGTATTTTCACTGAACACCTAAGTATGTAGACTAAAGAACATTAATCATTTCTAATGAAATCTTAGAAGGAAGAGTGGTAGAAAATAACTACTACTAATATCCCCAACAATTTTAACTTTATGATCATTTATACTTATGTGATTTATATGCCTTTTCCAGAGACAGACTTATTATAGTCTGTCTGGTGAGAAAAACGTGTTACTAGTCTGCTCTCCACAAAGACTGTTCTTCCTTAACATTGATGTATCATAAAATATTTTACTAAAAAACCATGAAATACATTCATAGCTTTACATTGGTTAAAGTCTCTATTGTAACATTAAACCTAGTCTATTCCAGACATTAAAAGCATAAAACACTAGGGAATGATCTCATGAGCAGAAAACAAAGTTCTAACAAAATTCAGAATTTCTTCAAAATTAACCCTCTCCAGTAGCTCTTGCTTGACGGACATCAACATCTGTACTTCCAAACAATCCTATTCCATTGTGGCACAAAGTATATTTTGTAATTATTTTAAATTTGCTTAATTCTCTGTCACAATGTATTTGAGTAAAAGATAGGGCTAAAAGATATCCATAGGTTAAACACAAGGTGGTGTAAGCAATTGAGTAATGTTGTATTTGTGTTGCTGTTGAAAATGTAGCATTCCTGACATTTTTGCTTCTGATTGTAAGAGATAAAGATAAATAATAAATATAATCAATAAAACAAGTTAGGACTAAGTGACTTTCTGTCAACTGGGAGAAATTTTTAACAATATTCTAAACACATGTATGTTGTTTCATAATATTTAGTAAGTGACAGAGCTCTTAGTTGCTGTCAAGTTTAAACTCTATATCATTAGAATTAAATGCAGGTATTGGGCCATCTTCTGTTTTTTGTGATTTTTACGTTACAATAAAAATCATTTGATTGCTGCAAATATTTAAAAATTATAACATTCAATATTTTTCATAAAGCTTAATCTAGCAGCCTGGACTGAAACAGTCACTGGGTCAGTCCACTTTTGGTCGTGTCTGAAAATTAAATCCCACTAAATATGAAAACAAAAAAAAAGGATTAAAAAAGTTGAAAGCAGCAAAATTATATCTTTCAATCTAATAAAGCTACTTTTGAAAAAAAATTATAATGTTTATGACAGACGTATTTGCAAGTTCTTTTTTCAGAGCCAAAATAAAATACTAGAAGATCAACCAAAGTTAAATGTACCTTAAACCTGTGTTTTGTTGGTTTTCCATCAGCTGTGAATGTGAGGATTCCTGTAGAGATGTCAATGTGACAGCCTACATACATTCCCTGGTTTGTGCTCCGAGTCCCAGCTTCACTCTGGTTAACTTCTGCGTGAAGTTGTCCAGCACATATCATGTAACAATTCTGTCTCTCTAAACTGTAAAAGTTTGAAAAATGCAAAGGAATTATCTTGAATTTATGCACTATTATTACTTGTATAATTTAACACAACTCTGATCCTAAATAAAGTCAATAAAGTTTTAATTTATCTTCAAGAGTGAAAATAGCACAAAACCAAAAAACTAAATAATCCTTACATCAGAAAAACAAAATAAAACTGGAAACATAACACCCAATATAAAATTATTACTTGGTATATTAAAAATATTTCCAAAATGTCTTCAGACAAGAATGATACATCTGTGTTAAGTGTAATAAACTTCAAGATTAAGTTTTGAAATGAAACATCATTTTACATAATGGTCTGATTATTAATTAATACCAACTGTAAAGAACAGGTGACTTGTGCTCTTTGAATATTTCAAAACAATATTTAATGTCTTGGATTATGAAAATGACAAGCATTATGTAAAGATACTGCATATACTTTATATCAAGTTTTTTTGTCAAGTTACTGCTTATATGGCTAACCTTAATGATTTTTATGTTCAGTTTAACAATTATCTTAGTTTGATTTTGACATATTTATGCATTAGACTAATAGCAGTTATAAAAAAGCATTGAGTAATAAATAAAATAAGAGTAAAAGGAAATACGATATATATATATATACACCTAGGAAAAAGTTAAG